AAAGTGATGGTCCAGGCACTCAAGTAGTTAGCATAACAGTATCTTTATTGGGGCAAACACACAGCAACGTTTCAACCCGACCAAGTCTTTGTTAAGCTGTGTGTTATGCTATCTACTTGAGTGCCTTGACAATCACTTTATTTTACATATTCACATCAAGGAGTCGCTGTCAGACAAGTAAGTACTAGTGGCTTCCAACATAAATATAGAATTGTTGAATCTATTTGATGTTTGGTTTCAGCGTGCTGATTGACACACGTGCTATGTGTCCCCACCGTTTTTCTATGATAAGCATCTGATTGGACAAAACTTATTGATGATTTCTCTGCAAAGGATTGGGCTGCAGCGAGGATAATATACCGTATATTTTACAAACCAGGATAAATATGGGGACTAGCGGGTCTCCTTGTTGCAGAACAAAATTTTATTTTATTCCATTTTACAAAAAGGTATATCCAGACTGCAAGAAGTTTCACAACAGGTGGAAACCAGAAGACCTGTGAGTGACCATATTTATCTTGGTTTGTGATTTATATATTGCTGTTATTGGAGCACTAAGGCAAGAAATCATATGAAAATATAATATAGCATATCAGAGGCGTAACTAGAAACCACAGGGCCCCAGTGCGAAAATTGCCCTGGCCCCACCCACCCCCCATACATCTTCCCTCCCCACCCACCCCTCCATTTATATAATACATACAGATACAAGCATGGACACACACAGTGGCGTACACACAATCCATGGGGCCCCGGTGCAAAACTGACCCATGGGCCCCCCCTCCTCCCTATTCTCCCCACTCCATCCTCCGACAGACACACACACACATAGAGACAGACACACACACACACACACATAGACACATACAGACAGACATACACACAGACACAAACATGCATACAGACAGGCACACATATATGCATACAGGCAGACACACACACACACACAGACACATACATACAGAGCGACACACACACACAGACACAGACAGGCACACACAGACATATACATACAAACAGACAGGCACACACAAAGACACCCAGACAAACACATCCATACAGACAGACACACACATACAAAGACATATTCATACAAACAGACAGGCACACATACACACAGGCAGACACATACAGACAGACAGACACACACACATACAGACAGGCATACATACATACATACATACATACATACAGACAGGCACACAAACAGACACATACATACACACACACACACACACACACACAAGACACACATATACACAAAGGCACATACATACATACATACAAACAGACAAGCACACACACACATACAGGCAAACACACACACAGACATATATGCATACAGACAGACACACACACATACATACACAGACAGGCACACATACAGACAGACACATACAGACACACAAACACATACAGACAGATACAGACAGACAAACAAACAGGCACACATACATACAGGCAGACACCCTCACACAGACACACATACAGACAGACAGGCACACATACATACAAGCACACACACACACACACAAAATGTTTAAGTCACCCTCCTGTTTCCTACCTTCTAGGTGCAGGAGGGTGACTTTCCCTGGGGTCCAGTGGTGGCTCAGGTTGACGGGAGTCAGAGTTCCCACTCTGACTCCCTGTTCTTCCTCCCGCGCAGGCTCGGTTTATGCTGGGAGGAGTGACGTGCAGTCACTTCCTCCCAGCAGTGATCTCCTCACAGGGGGCCCGGTTGCGCCGTTAAAGCGCCCAGCGCTGACCGGGCCCCCTGACAATCCAGATCCATCGGTTGGCCCTGACAGCAAGGGCCACCCGATGGACCCCTTGGACGGCGGCCCTGGCATTTTGCCACGTAGGCTGGGGCCACAAAAGATGGCAGTGGGTACCCGGTCGCAGGGGTCTGCAGGGTGGCCGGGCCCAGTCACAGCTGCGACCCCTGTGACTGCGGTATGTACGCCAGTGGACACACATGCTAATACACAATCACACAGAATGACACACATTCAAATACACAGAATGACACTTCTAGAGATACAAACACTGACACACATACAGATACAGAGACACACTGACACACATGCGGTTACACAGACACACAGATGCAAACAGATACACATACAAACATATACATTTACAGACACAGAACACGCAGACACACAAAAAGACAGATACACATATAAACATGCATGCAGATACACAGACACACTTAATGACAAACATTCAGATACACAGAATGACACGCATACAGATATAAACTGTGACACACATACAGATACATATGGGCACACACTGACACACATGCAAACAGATACACATACAGACATACAGATACCCATACAGACAAACAGATACACATACTGACTCACATGCAGACATACAGATACACAGACAAAGAGATACACATACAGACAAAGAAATTCACATTTAGACACACACATGCAGACACACATATACAGACATTCTCACACACACACACACACACACACATACAGAGATACAGACACACAGATACAGACATTCACACACACACATAAAGACACAAAGATACAGACATTCACACACACCCACACAGACACACACACATACAGACACACAGATATACAGATACAGACATTCACACACATACAGATACACATACACACAGGCACACACCTACACACAAATGCAGGCACACACACACATACAGACACAAAGATACAGACATTCTTACACACTCACACAAACAAACTTTTTAGTCACCCTCCTGTTATCTACCCTTAGGTGCAGGAGGGTGACTTCCCTGGGGTCCAGCCTTTGGCTGATGGGAGTCAGAGCTCACACTTCTTTCCCTTCGCTCCTCTCCTTTCCCTTCGCTCTCCTACCGCGTGGCTCTATGTATGCTGGGAGGGAGTGACAGCT